CCTCACTGGCTGCCCCATACTTTCAGCCTTGTGCCACATCTAACCTACACTTAGAAAATCATTTGATTCACTGTGGAATTTACTTCCCGGTGTGCTTGTCAAACTCTCTGCCTCTGAGCAGAGAGGAACCCAGATGAGGCTATGCCAAAGGGCAGAGTCTCGTCTGGGGTGGTAGACAGCTACCTGACCTTGTTTTTACAGCGTCTATGGGGAATTTTTCGCTGAACCTACAGACTTGGATATCCCACAATAAACTTGGCCTTGTGCCACATCCAACCGCATGGGGCGGTAGGTGAATATCTTAACAGCAGTGATATCATCAGAATAGCATGGGTTTGAAAGGAAATGACCAATTGAAAAGCCTGATTTGCAAGTGAATTCTGTTGTATGTAAAATCAAAACGATTACAATGCAGATGAAAGTGAAGGTATATTATCCCTTTAATTAATTTTGTAAAATCTTTACAGAATGCGAAATCAATTGTTACCCAGAGGGAAATCTACAGCGCACAACATTTTCAGACTTTACTATCAGAAAATCGGCAAAAAATAAATACAATATCATTGAACAGCATGTCTAAAAGGATCCCTGAGACACAAATGTGAAGTTGCCTTGAAATATCTTTTTTGAACTACAAGGCCAAGTAGAATATAATAGAGGTAAATTTTGAGATATGCCTTGCATCATATTTGGCACAACGGCAACATCCATGATCCATGGAAAAATGTTTGGTTTTCAGATGTTGGATCAGAGAATGTGTACCCATTGTGATTCTATGAACACCCACATAGGGAAAAGGTGGTTTTAACTCGATCTTAAGTGTTTCTGTTTAATGAACCAGTAGATGAAGTTCAGTCTTCTGAGCAACATTCACTTTAACCAAAGGGGAATGGTAAGTAAAGGGATTTTCAGAGATCAAGTGTCAACAAAACCAGAAATAGTGTATATCTGGGGTCTGGGCTATATTAAGTCATGCTTAGGATCATGGTGCATTTTGGTCTGCTCTTGCCGTGAGACAGATGTGTCTGTTGAGTGGTTCTGAAGCCTCTGTTTTTGTATTACCAACAACCATGTCAGGATGATTAAATGGTTGAGGATCTTCAAGCAATAAATCTTGAGCAGATGGGTGAGGAGTTGATAGGGAAGAGCTGACATAGTTGTTGTCTTAGGTATCACCTACCAACCCACCTGAACAAGCAGGCAAAACCCTGAATAAAACACCTACATATAGTATGGGAAACAGTTTACACTGGGTTTTTTTTCTCAACGTGACATCTGTCTTTTATTATGTTACCTTGTGAGTATGCAGTGTGCTCTTCTCGAGCTTTCAGTGCACACCAACAAGAATCAGAATGCAATGAGGGGTAGTCATTGGCCAATTGGTGGAAAGTAAGAGTCACACTGAATGTTTACACCTGTATCAAGTGTTCTGTCTTTGTGGCTTTGTATAAATGAGCTAAGAGGTTGGAGAATGACCTATTAATTGGGCATGATAGCTCACTTGGGGGGAGTGACATATCTATGGCTAAAATATTTTGGTCTAGGAGTGTGGGCTGGGAGCAATGATTTGACTTTTGCTAATCAAGCTTACAGGAGAGAGAAAGGGAGGGGAGTTCAAGCTTCATAAAATAGAAACTGTTTTACTTTCTAGTCATTCCACCCTGACATGGCACAATGCAGAGGAACCTTAAGAGATTCCTCTGCATTCTCCATTTATAAATGCTAGTAGAAGCTGTCCTGTCAAAGTACATGAATAAACCAGAATTATTCCTTCAACTGTTTTTGTTGTCCATGAGTTTTTGCCAACAGGTTTAATTTTGGTCACAACACTTTTCTGCATCAAGGCACAATGTTCAACCAAAAAAGTAGCATCTAAAACTTTATGACCATTACAGGAGATATTCATGCCTTTTCAAGAGTATTAGTACAAAGTGAATGCAATAACCTCAGCTAGAACTTTAACTCAGGCTTATGACATAGACGTTTATTCATATTGCATTATTCTTCTTCTATATGCCATGTTCCTTCAGGTCATTGGCATCATGGTTCTTCACAATTTCCTGTCTTTTGTAGTTCTTAGTAAATTTTGCTATCTCTCCAAACCCTGTTCTGCCAACAATTTACACAATTTCATTAGGTAGGTTATGTGCTGTTTTCTTCTGTCCCTCTTGCCTTCAACAAGTCCTGTCAGTGTCAAATTTCCTAAGTACTTGTTCCTCATTACTGTGCCCTAGAAATTTCAACTCTCTTTCTGATGTTAAGTATAAGTGTGATTTTTGTTTCCATTTTTCTCTAAAAAATTTTATTGCTATCTTCTACATCTTTGCTTAGATTATCCAGCATTCACTGCCATATAGGATTGATATTACATAACAGTTCAGTACTCTTTTCTTAGTCTCTATTAATTTTTTCCTGTTTCTTAATACTTTGCTTAGCTTTTGGAAAGCATCTGTCACTATCATGATGCATCTTCGGATTTCTGTGTCACATTTTCTGTCCTCTGTTAAAACGCTTACCAGATATTTTATTTTTTTGTATTTGCTTGATTTTGTTATATCCATTTTGTAATTTGCATGTTGGGCTGTTCCTTTTACTGACAACCATACATTCTTTCTTCTTGCAATTGATGTTTAGTCCTTTCTTCTTGCTTTCCTTTACTACATTCTGTAGGAGTTTTTATAGTTTCCTTTCTCTTTCTGCTATCAATGCTGTGACATCTCTATATCTAATGTTGTTAACATTGTAGCAGCCAATAATGAATTCTGGTAGGACTTCTAATTCTCTCAGAATCTCCTCAGTCTATAGGTTAAATAAGTCCAGTGAGATGACATGTCTTTGTCTTACACCCTTTCTATTTTTGTATATTTTCTGAATTCATTTTTTATTCATATGTAGGCAGTTTGTTCCCAGTATAAATTCTGGGTTATTCTAATATCTTTTCTAAATATGTCAAGGTTACCTTACAGTTGCATTACAATTCCATAAAGAAAAGAGTATTGTCAGTCACTGCTTTGTTTATTCTTTGTCATTGTTGAGGCAGTTTCCTTGCTTTGTGTATTTTAAGTTTGTAAGCAAACAAATAATGTTGTGCAAACATTTAAAATTATGTTTAACTTTACAAAAATACCATTGAATTGATTTAATAACTATTTATTCAGATTGATTCAATCAATATTTAGTCATTGGTAGTTATATTTTTGTTTAGTATCTAAGGAATTGTGATCTTGCCAATAATCTAGTTGTATGCAATTTATAACTTTCATTTTGATAACAACCCTCAAGGCATTATGATTTGTTATATTCCATGCTAATAGGAATATATACTTGAAAAACAAGGTGGATAAAATAAGTAAAAGTTTATTGTACAAAACCAGTACACTAAGAATAACGGTAACAGTTTATGCACAAAGTCGTCGCAAGTCAATCCAGTAGTGAGTGCTACTATTGGAAAGTCAGTAGTTCTTGTGTAGGTCTAAGTCGTACTCAACAGATCCCAACTAGTATATTTAGCTACCCCACCACGATGTGGCACAAGGCCGGTTTATTGTGGGTTCTCCAAGCCATTAGGGCTCGCCATAAATATTCCCTTTTGAACCATAAACGGGCTCAGGGTCAGTCTACCTCATCGAACGAGACTCTGCCCTTTGGCGGGGCCTCGTCTGGGTTCCTCTCTGCCCGAAGACAGAGTTCAACTGTTTAGCTGGAACAGGTCGCAACTAGTTTCTGTAGTCCGTTGATTTACAGATACTTATAGGTAGTAACTCATTGGGGTGACAGGTTATTCCATTACATCATGATTAAAGCAACTAAATACATAAATAATGTCATCAGTTACATTCTCTGTATCTGACCCTGACTGTATCCTCATAATGTTTATTATTAATACAACTTATACAAAGGTTAATAACATTTAAATGCCCATATCATGGTTGATTTATTTTTTTATTTTTTTCCACTACAATAGATAGAATACTTTCAAATGTATATGATTAAACAATTTTGTTTTATACTAGTTGTAGACCTGATTTGACAATGGCTGGGTATTGAATAAAACATTGCTTGAGAGATTAAGTAGTTGTTTACTAACTTTTTAATGTCAGCTGTTAATATTAGAGTTGCATTTTATACTTGATACTAATGTTGTACTTTTTCCCAATTCATAATAGTACACAGTTATCAATAACATAAGCACAGTTTCAAACTTTACATTTCTAAATAAAAACAAAGTAAAAAAACTGTTCATGAAGCCAGGGATCAATTTAATGCTGTATTTATATTATGAACAGGACCCCCACCTTGTAAAATGATTAAAAAAAAAATCAATATATTATTATTCTTACAATTGTCATGGATAAAGGATTATCTGATGAATGCTAATCTACAAAATTGTTCCAAAAGAAATTTCCTGTTTTTTTAATAACTGGACAAGTAAATTTTAGAAGTGTTGGTCTGGGAGGAGGAGAAAGAGGAGGAGTCATATTTTAAAATTCTTCATAAATCTTTAATGTGCTAGCAGTTTTTTCCGCCACACTTCTCACTTATGGAACTCTCTTCCAGCTTCTTGCTTCCCAGTCAACTTTGATCTTGAAAAATTTGAATGTTATTTATACATTATTTTAATAGATACAATTTATTTAAGTAAATGCTCTTTTTTGTTTGATTAAACAGTATTAAACAATATTAATTACCTTTACCGGCCTGAATGTTCGAGAAATTTCATAGAAAATATGCGTTCTCCAAAAGTCCAAATTAATGTTTTTAAACACATAATCTCCAAGAATTACTTAAATAAATTGTATCTATTAAAATAACATATAAACAGAAAATATATTAAATAATAATCAGACTTAGTCCAGTTCATTGTATATTGTCATGGATAAAGGATTATCTATCATGGATATAAGATTGTTATATAATTTATATTTACATATATATATTCAGGAAAAACTAATTCATGTTTTTTTTGAAACTCTATTCTTACAGTTGAATCCCAAACAAAGAAGACAACAAGAGGAATCTGCTTGCATTTTGGTAATAATTATTTCTCATGTTTTTTTCCCATTTTTATCAATATTTATGAAGTTTGGCTTAATCTGGCACAAGGCCACATGTGTGAGTACGATGAAGATCAAATTTCCTACAGGAATAATAATCTGTAAAACAAACTTACTAACCATTGCTTCATGGCAAGACATCCATTACTGTTATTTTTATCTATCGATATCAGTCCCTGATGCCTGAAGAGTCATAATAGGAAAATGCCAAAGGAGGCTATACAATTTTTGTTTCCAATCCCATATATTTATGAGATCCCAACTTTAAATACACCCTTGTGAAATATTCCATATTTCACAATATTCTAGTGTGGACAAATACCTTTGTTTTGCATTAGCCTAGTAAGTATATGCTATTGTGAACTAGAAAATATCTAGGTAATATTCTTCCTGAAGAGTGTTTTTTCTTAATAGATGAAACCTTGTCAGTTAGTATTGATTTTTTTGACAAGTATTCCTTTCATCTTAATTTCACTTGCGTGGAAGTCAAATTTGTACTCAATTGCTAAGGCTTCACAGCTACAACAATCAATTCCACCATTGGCATATTATCCTTCAGTATGGCTTTAGCCCATAACAGCCAGTTAATATCCAGTGCATACATTGGAGAGGAAGCATGAAGCAGCCTCCTGGGCGTGCTCAGTCAACCCCCTGCTACAAATGTCCACAGTCAGAATCCCACCATATAAGGTTGACAGCCTGTGGAGGTCTTCCAAGTAGACATTCACAGATTCATTTGAATTCAATCGCCTAGCTATGAAAAGGTTGCATGCTACAAATGGATCTGTGGCAAAGCTAATGTACAAGACATCCCCTGATACGGCCTACATCTTTTCTTTCTTCCTTGTTCCTTCTTGGAACACAGCAAACACACCTCCTGGCAATCAGGGTGGCAGAATGCTAACAATGTTCTTCACACTGCACAGATCACAGACCAGTTCAGTCTTTTCAAACATTTCAATGATAAAAAGACCCGGTCTGACCCATCAAATTCAGGGATTAGCCTTAAGTCAGACTTGCCATCTTCCATAAGTTCCAAAATAGCTTCTTGTAAATTACAGCAAGAATGTGTTGAGATTGGAGGAAACACCTACATGATTGCTCTCCCAACAACTACAAAAGTAATAACCAGAGAAGGGAAAGAGATGGGAGTTAACAAAAATAATGCTGCCTCAGAAACCACAACAACTTCAGGAAAAAAATGCCCATGGCACTGACTTCACAAGATATCATGTCTTGCCAACAGCTGACTGCTGGTTTTCCCGTTGCTTTTATTAGCATGAGGCATCTTACAAATACCCGGATCTTGACTAGTTGCAGAGAGGTCCGTATCTAGACATGCCAAGCTGTACAGTTGCTAATGGGGAAAATCCAGATGCAGCTGGTATTGACAAACATGTCCACATGCGTTCTGAGGCCTCTTTTGCAAGAACTGCATATTTGTAAGATGCCTCGTAGTTGCTGGAAGAGCTATCAGTTAAGTGTTTCCCCCAATTATAACACACTCTTCTCATACTTTACAACATAGATGAAGCACAGTCAACCATTATTCATTTTTGACTATTATTTCTTTCATCTTAATTTCACTTGCTTTTTATTACATTAGTAGTATTAATAGTAATATTATCTTGAATTTTATTATTATTAGATGAAGCATTGTCAACCATGATTCATTTTTAACTAGGATTTCTTTCATCTTAATTTCACCTGTTTTTATTACATTAATAGTATTAGTCACAATATTATCTTGAATTTTATTATTATTAGATGAAGCATTGTCAGCCATTATTCATTTTTGACTAGGATTTCATTCATCTTAATTTCACTTGCTTTTTATTACATTAGTAGTATTAGTCATAATATTATTTTGAGTTTATTATCATTAGATGATATTATTCATTATTTATTTTGACTTGTATTTCTTATTATATTTTCATTTTTGCTTTCTTTTTATTGTAACAGTTTCCGTGAAAAGCAATTACAATTAGTTTAAAAGAAATATTAGCAAAAAATTAGTGATGTACAGGTTTTATTCAGTAAAATGCTAACTGATGTTTGTTTCTTATTTGGTTTTACTACACAAACATTGATTGTTATTTTACATCTCTGTTATATTAACAGGATATTTGGTTTATGTAATAATTTTGCATATGTTATTATGCTCAGTGCTGCCCATGATATTCTCCGTGAAGAAAGGGGTGAACAAAATAAGACTCACACTGTAAGTAAATTTTTCAACCTTTTCTTCCATCATTCTAGAAACACATGTTCTGTATATGCTACATCTGAAAAGTTTCAGCTTTTAAGCATGTTTAGTTATTAGAAATGTTATACTTATCAATTAACAACCTTTAGAATAGAGTTGAGCATTTTTCTGTTAAGTATTTGTACACATTTTGTATATACCATAATGTCTGCACATGAGGCATAAATAAAAAAAAAACAAAACACAATGTCTCAAGTAGACAGTCAATCAAAGAAAGAGTCTGTGTAACAGCCAGATGTAACAGTTGAAGTTGGAAAGAAACCTTCCTGTGTCTAGTCTGTTCCTTATTGGACCAAAACTATCTTCATAAGAATAAACTAGGCTAAAAAAAAAAAAATTTTTTTTGTAAAACATCTCAATAATTTATGGAATATCAAAATTTTGGAAGTACACTTTATCTGCTCTTTTCTTTTCCTTTCCCTTTTCTTTATGGACAAAGTTGAATATTTTTATACAAGGCTAAAATTTTTACCCCCTCACAAATGCTTCATGGTAAAATTTAAAAAGCAAAGAGTTTGTGTGAAATTTTTTATGTTTGCTTTGTAAAAATTTTTCTAACGAAATACTGGATTTTTATTTATTAATCTGGGATGCATTTTTCTTTGATAAGATTTCTCAAATATTCAGGCCGGTAGATGAAATAAAATACTGATTAAAAAAAAACAGCGTGTCCACTCAAATATTGATATCAACTAAATAATAACATTTCAAGTAATAAAAATTTGTCAGATTGTTTAGAAAGTGAACAAGCTGCCAACAATTGCATCTAGCATGAAACAGCCTGTCACCTCTGAGTGTTGACTTCAATATACACTTTTATCTATACATACGCTCTATCTCTGATATTGAGCTCTTTATCCCATAAATATAGCACACCTTAAGACTATATATATATATATATATATATATAAAAGGAAGGAAAAGGTTATAGTAGTTCCAACAAGAGAAAGGTGTGTATATTAAAAAGAAGAGAGATACCGCAAACGTTTTTGGTTGTAATGTGGATTTTTTAAAAAAATATGCTTTATTTTCCATAATTTTACTACACGTGTTTCTGGTCTCACAGACGTCATCAGGTAAAGCGTGGAGATTTCCACTTATTATTAAAAATAATTCATTCTTTTCTCCTTTATGTTTTTCAATGTTAAATATTCTTGATATGAGACATTCTCTTTCTATGTGTTAGTAATCCAAATTTCTTTCTTAAACTTTTTATATATATATATATATATATATATATATATATATATATATATATATATAAAAAGAGAAAGAGAGGAGGGAAAGAAATATCACAAATGCTGCTTACTATTTTGTATAAGAAATTATTAAAGATACAGAGGCACTAACTTTAAATTTTTAAATATTTGACATCTAAGGTGCCTAATTAACACAATGCCATTTGTCAGATTGACTCACCAAGTTGTAGGCATTACCTTAATAACAATGATAAAAATAAAAGCAATAGAAAGCTGAATGAGATCGCCAAAATTGGACATCTAGATACACCAAGCATCAAAATTTAAAGGCTGGGTATCTTTACCATCTGCAAATTAACTGTACCTCACATTTGGTGTATTTCTTCTCCCAATTTTTATAAAAAAGATTGATTCCATCAATAAAACCACTGTCTAAAGTTCCTTCTCGGAAGAAAATGACTTCAATGTCTTTTTGTCTTGCCCATACAGTAATGTTCACTTATCTCCCAGCACACCAAATATCTATGCCCTACTCTCATGCTATCAATGGATCTTGGAAATAATTGAAGTTCATCCCTACCCAACATGCATGAAGATACATGAATATACATGCATGTGCATCTGCCACTAATGCCAGTGAGTAGTGTTTGAGCCCTGGTAAAAGTGATGATTTTGGTTTTCAGTGTCTTTGGATACAAAAGGCGATTATCTCCATGAAGTCACGTGGGTCACATGAAGGCCACTTAGTAACATCCCTTCATAGAGTGACGAAAGTAGTCAGTCCTTCAGTAGGCTTCCAGGAGTCAAACTGAACAGTTGCTGTTTTAGCATGGGCAAAGCCCTTACCTTGTCCAGATGGAGGCTAAATCTGCTTCCCCCAGCTCGCTCAAATCTGGAATCTTAAATATGGCTTCTCCAGAAACACAGAAGAATTTTCAGCAGCTCCAATTCCCATTGAGAATTATTATACGTAAGACTCTCTCCTTTCATATCCTTTTCACTCTGCTTGTTGTTGCATAGATGTTATAGTTTCTCTGCATGAAACAAATGTCAGTATGTATATATAATTTTATGCATGACTTCATGGCATAAAACTCTCTCTGAGAACAAAATATGTTTACCATTCCTTTTCTTCTGGCTATTCTGTTCTGTTGTGAAATAAGGTGTTATTATATCATGGATATAATAAGGTCCATAATGGTGAAAATACAAAAGTGGGAGAATATTCTTTTCTCCCATAGCTCACCTAATCTGGAGATATTCCCAATATGACATGATATTATTAAATGCCACTAAATGTAAACAGAGCTTCTTCACTTGGAAGAAAGATGGGTGCAACACAGTTTTCCTAATCCTGTACCTTACTATACTCAGTTTAGTAAATATAAAAATATATGCACACACTTTTATAGACATCCAGTTGCGATGAAAACTGTTATTTCTTCTAACCAAGTGATTTTTTTCTAGATTTAAAATTTCTGTTTTATAACTTTAAGAGACAAATTCTTAAATGCACAAGAAGAATCTTTCTTATTTTTAATTTTCTTTAAATCTTTAATGCCTGTATTTTTTATTTTACTTAAATATGAATGTAATTTCTGCAAGTTTTTTTGTTTTTACAATAAGAGATCTGATAGATTGTTGCTGTTTTAAAGTAAAAAGTTATCTCCCTTGATACATTATTTAGAGACATTTTTATTTCTTATTAGTAAAAATGTTATTTTTAGTGGACACCAGTGTTTGAGTTTGCATCCCTGTTTTTTATTTTCTTAACCAATGAAATTAACATCAACCAGCCTCGATTGAGTAGTCCTTCTAAAGAAAAATGTTCATCCCAATAGAAATTGAATATGTATTCCTTTTTTGCTCATGGAAGCGCTCCTATAACCAAAGTGTGACATTTTGCCATGACCTAATTGGTAACGGCTTGCATCAATCAACTTGTGAGATGGCTAAACTGATGCTAATTTCATTCTTTAATAAAATTAAAATAAGGATGTCAACTCAAATGTGTATCCACCCTGTTTAACATTTATAGTAATAAAAATAATGTTGGATTAAAAAAATGGATTTAAAAATATTTTTATACTAATGTTTTCAGTTAAATACTTAGTGTATTATCTTCTTGCATTAATAGGTTAACACAACGTGTCCAGCACAATCCTTGTGTGTAATCGTTTTTGAACTGGTGTAAGTATCCTTTGTATTTTGCCTTTATATTTTACTGAATATATTGTATTTATCAGTATCAAAGGCACTATTTTTTTTTCCTCACAATAATTTGCGTTGTGTCTTACAGGCCAAAAATTACATTTTTCTTTTGTTTTCCCCCACCACAACATTGTCTCAAAATTTTTGCATTCCATCTTACAGGTCAAAGGTTGGTTTTTTTTTTCTCACAAAATTGTCTCAAAATAACTTGCCTTGCATGTTACAGGCTAAAGGTTATTTTTAAGTCTCCTCCTCACCCCCAATTGTCTCAAAATAATGTTTGCATCTACACGCCAAATGTTATTTTTTGAGCCCCACCAATTGTCTCAAAATTGCCTTTGCATCTTATGCAGGACAAAGCTTACTTTTTATATCTTTTTTTTTCCTGAAATATTGTAAGTCAGAAGGGGTGGCTTCATTGATGTTTGGAGATACATTAATTAATTTCAGTAATTAATGCTTTTTAAAAATATTTTTATAGTTCAACATTATATAAAAAACAACACTTTACAGTAATTGGTTTCTCTACTAAGACAAATATTCTCATCTCTGTCTCCAAATGAAATTAACCACAAAAAATCTTGTCAAGATGCAGACAAGAAGACACTATTTTTTTCCTCATAATAATTTGCTTTGGTCTTATAGGCCAAAGACTACTTTTTTTTTGAGCCCACCACAAAAATTGTTTTTTGTATTGCGGCCATTACAGACCAACAAGCTAACTTAACAGGTTCCCAAACTGCATGAATTTAAAGCTTTATACTAGGTTGCATCTCAGTCCCTCCCCTTAACTGCTCAGAAATAGTTAAATGTAGCCCTTTTTAACGTTCAATAGCTTTGTCTCGCACTTCCTGTCTGTGGAACCCATTCCATCTTACTTGTTTCCCTGGCAGATAGCTTATAGTAATCTCCAAATATTCAAATGCAGATTCAATCGACATCTCCAGATGCCTTGATCTTCACCATCCTTCACTTCATCCTTTCCTCCCATGCCTGTTTTTTTACTCTTGCTCCCACTCTCTGTAACCTCTTGTGTGCTAGTGGCACTTGCCAGAGCTTTAAAAAAGTTACTACTTTTTTTTTTCTCTCGCAAAATTGTCTCAAAAATAACTTGCCTTTGAATTTACAGGCCAAAGGTTATTTTTTTTTTCTCCCATGTCACCCCCAATTTTTAAAAATATTTTATAGTTTATAACATTATATAAAAAAATTGCCTTACAGTAATTTTTCGTAGATTAAGACAAATATGAAATTCCAAATGGAATTCACCACAAAAAAATTTATGAGGATGCAGGCCATATGTCCCCCACAACACATTTGCAGAATATTTTAATACTATTTTCATTTTTCTAGTACAATTATTGTTTTATTTCATTGTTAGATAACCTAGTTAATGCAACAAAAAATATTCCAAAAATAATTATTATTGTTGTTATTATTAGTGAAAATTATGAATTTTATAAATTATTTACATAACAGAAAAGAATTCATATAAATAAATGATTTTCTCTGTAAATGTATTTTAATATTTATCATGAATTTTTT